AAATGATCACAGCTGAAATGTTTTTTGAATGATATTAAAATTCCGTCAAAATTGTTTCTTTAACTCTCTGGCATCAGACGCAATGATTAATTCTTACAAATCTTCTTTCAAAAATTTGTACAAAAATTATAAAACTAGAAATTTTCCTTCAAGTCTTGTAGAAAGTTCCACAAAGGCAATTGGTTTCATTAAAAATCGTTAGATAAGTTTCATTCTTTTTCACCAAGTAAAAAGCAAACAGGTTCAAATTTTACAAAAAACTAACAGGATTAAGACTCTCAATTAGGTCAATTAGTTTGTATTTTACATATGAAAAAAATAGAAATTTGAGTTCTCTTCACTGGAAAAATTGTGTGTTTTTTTGCGGGGAAAGTTATAAGTTTATTTCACGGGAAAGCTTGGGGAATCTTGTTATCAATCACATGGAGAGCGAAGAGGGGTTGGTAGTTAACAAGATTTAGGTTCACCAATTTTGGATCCTGTTACCGTTACAAAGAAAGAGTGCACAGATATCCGTCGATGCCAGCAGACAGAATACCTTGTTTCTTGATTTCTAAATATTCACCGTCTTCCACGAGAGAGTAGCGGTGCTCGTACAGTCGACTTTCCGCGCTTCCAAACCGAACTCCTAGCGGATTGACGACATCTCCGGCTTGGTTCTTAGTCAAGTCTATTCGAATTTCTATCGCGGAATTGTCTTTTTGCATTCTGTACCAATCAAAAGCGGCATAATGCTCAGCTTTACGTTCGGCGCTACTCGGATAGAACATGAAAGATCGACTGTTGGCATTTGCACAAGCTTTTTGTATGGTACTAAACACGGCAAATTTCATTAAAACTCGGAAATTTCGGGGAGGCGTTTTTTAGCATTTCAAAAAAAAGTATGCGGGAAAACTAGACAGCTTTGGACAATTTAAAAATTAATTGGTCCAGGTTTTTTGCGCATTCGGTCCTCCTGTGCTGAGAATAGCCTCCTAAATTACGAGTAAAACATATTTGTAGGCAACAAATTCAGCATGCTTTTATACATGGTTAAATCACAACAAGGCTGCTCATATCATGGCGAGGCCCTGATTGTTCCGACTGCCTCTTAAGGTCTGCGGAGCAGTAATAACATGAAAAAATTAAATGTAAGAAATAATTTTTTTTTAAATTGAGGTTTTTTGTGAAATCATCCCCCACACCCCATTTAAAGCACAAAGTGATAGATTTCTTGCTTAATAATAAATCAATTACGGCAATTAAGCTTCCTTCAACCATATTGGAACGACTTTTAAGACGAATCGAATATCAGCTTACGCGTTTAGCGCGAAATATATTGCGCGTTAATTGTCCCAAATTGGCCAAAATGGCAATCTTTAAACCCCCATAATTTTACGAAAAAAATCTCAAATTTTCAAATTTAAGCTCAAGATATCAATACCTTTTAATGATTAAAAAACCGTCAAAAATGGCCAGTTAAAAACTCGAAACCCCGAAACCCGTCGTTTGAAGAAAAATCTCCGACCTGAGCACAAAAATTCCGTTACTTTCGTTACGAAAGTCGGAACAATTGTTGTTCCGGCTCTTTTTGGAGAAAATGACGGAATATTTGTGCTCGGTGTGATTTTTTTTTATTTCAAACAAATTGCTACTTTTTAGCTAGCATTTTTTGACAATTTTTTGTATTGGGAAAGTAATAATGGCTTGAGCTCAAATGTATAAACTTGTTTCATCTGTGATCATTTTTTGTAAGAATAAGGGTGCTTAAAGATTGTCAATTTGACCAAAGTAGGTTAATTAACGCGCGATATACTTGGTGCTCTTAACGTAATCGGATCTTTAATCCGTCCTAGAAATCGTTCCAAATTGAGTTGAGGCATGCTATTTGGTCCATTCGTTAACTTACTAATTGCGAAAAATCCAACTTGGTACTTTAGATAGCTTGGGTGTGATTTAAGAAAAAAATTGAGTTCATTTTCTCAAAGCAAACACTTACTCCATAGAACATGAAGTGATGTCGGAGCAATCAGGGCTTCACCCTGATACATGTAGTTTTGTGTAAAACGCAGTTCCTCGCCCTCCAATCTCCCTCCCAAGAACGAAAATTGATAGCTTAGCCACCTGAACGCTCCCATGAAACAAAAACTGCAACACGTTTATATGATTTTCAAATAATTCTTTTTATGGTAATACTACGATTATTAATTTTTCCATAGACTCCATGTGAAAATAAACGATAGGCCATTTTCTTATGCGAATATCAAGCCGTAAAATTTAACGAAGCCACTCTCGAGACTCTTTGTTTGTTGAATCATAAGGGCATCAATTGAAAGTGTAATTATCATTTTGACTTCCGATAGTTCCAGTATGATTAATTGGATCCTGTTAACAATCCCCCCCAATTGCAATAGGGGGGAGATTCGTTACCAGGTACCAAATTCGTACATGCTTAATTATTTCTTGATATGAGGGGATATTCGTTACATGGTACCATAGGAGGGAAATAGTTAACAAGATCCGAATATTTGAACAAATTGTTGATATTGTAAAAGACACTTTTAAGAAAGTATGCGAACTGCGGAGGAACGTTATATTTTCTTCACTGTTTTACTTTGGCACTGTTGTATTGGATCACCCAATTTAGACCTTACCAACCCATCTAAGCGAGACCAGCGACATCCTGAATTGTAAAAAAATCTAAAATAAAAGACATTAAATCAAAAATCTCAAAATGTTTTATGATAAATGATCCCAGGAAAAATCACATTAAGCCGATTGCAAACTAATGTGTTCTTATGCGCGTTGCGTGCTCGCGCTTCCCAAAACACAAGCTGTCTTTAAAAGCTAGTAGTTATAACGACCCATGAATATTCGAAGTCAAGCGATTCTGAGAACGAACAGCGGATTATGAACTCGGATGGTTTTCAACATTTTGTTCGACCCTGTTTTAAAATTGAGGTTATATTTAAAAGAAGTATTCAGAAATTTATTGGCAAAATAGAAAACCTATCATCAGTTTGTTCAGGGGCGGATCTAGGATTTTTCTCGAGGGGACGAGCAGATTTTCAAAAAACTTTCATAAAAAATTTGAGCACTCCTCAAGCACTGAAAAGACGCTGTTTTGATAAATTTTCTGCGCCGGAGGTAAAGTCTTATAAAAACTGGTAAAAAAGCCGTGGTCAAAAAACTGGTGAAAAAAGTGTTGACAAAAAAATCGCGTTTTTTTAGGGCGCGCTCCCCCTCAAAGTTATTATATACTGGCGCCTAAGGCGCCTTCAGAAAGTTTTTAGGGTCGGTCGGCCAAAAATGGATTTCTTAAAAAATACCCAAAGGGGGACCCTTTAGGTCGGCAGGGGTATATGACCGCCCCTGAGTTTGTTTATGATTTACTCTTAAACTTTACTCTGAAATTATATTCACATATTTTATGAAAACTATAGTTTTTTTTGTCTCTTGAGTAGACCATGATTTAGTGTAGACAAGCAGGCGTAACTTCAATTACTAAACAGTTATTTTGTTCTGAAAATAAAACTTACTTCGTTAATGGACTTTAGTTGAAAATACCAATAAACAAGAATGCTCGTATCAGGGCAAGGCCCTGAATGTTCCGACTGCGTCTTTAAGGTCTATGGAATAGTAGTAAACATGAAAAAATTAAATGTAATAAATGAAAACAATTTTTTTTATTTGGATTTTTTTTGAAATTCATTCCCCCACACGCCATAAAAA